TAAATGATTTTATTACAGTTTTAGCTGTATTTTGAAATTCTAATTGATTCTAACGGGAATTTAATTCGATTTAAAACAAGGAACTTAATTAAATTTCAATTGATTCTAACGTGGTTTTAATTCGATGTTAATTGATTTTAAAAGGAATTCCAATTAAATTTCAATTGATTCTAACGGGATTTTAATTCGGTTTTAATTGATTTGAAAGGCACTTTAATTAAAGTATAATTGATTCCAACGGGATTTTAATTCGATGCTGATTGATTTTAAAAGGAATCTTAATTAAAGTATAATTCATTCTAACGGGATTTTAATTCGGTATTAATTGATTTTAAGAGGCATCTTAATTAAAGTATAATTGATTCTAACGGGATTTAAATTCGATTTCAGTTGATTCTAAAAGGAATTCTAATGAAATTCTAATTGATTCCAACGGGATTTTAATTCGATTTAAAAGGAGTTTTAAACAATTTCAATTGATTCTAAGGGGATTTTAATTCGATTTTCATTGATTTTAAAAGGAATTTAAAGGCGGCCCTACCAAATCCTTTCAATAAATATGCCCCCCTAATAATACATAATTTCTGACCCCCCGGATTATTTATTACTACAGGGGGGGGGACGTCGTTTACAAAGAGGGCGAAGGCATTATCATGTCTCCCAACCATCATGATTACGTTGCTCAGCGGGAGGAAGCAGGTGCAGTCAGCAGCTCTTGCACGGATTCTTTGACCTCTGCAGTGAGCCTCAACTTGGTGGGGGTTCCGTCCACGCACATAGGACAATCTGTGCAAAACCTATTCCAACCCCCCACTTGCTCCTCTACATTCTCCACCTTCCTGGCCCCCAGCTCATTAAGAGCTTTCGAAACGAGTTTTGCCAGGGCAACGGAGCGATGACGCCCTCTCGTACAAAAGAAACTCCACAGGAGGTCTTTTGGCCACCCTGAGAGCCTAACCGCAATACGATGCAGCACACTACGCCACTTAGCAAGGCCGTCATACGCTCAAGCGTCTCATCATGCGTCCCCACATGGCCTCTCAGGGTCATGACACGGATCCTCAAGCTCCCGGGCATCGACCTCGAGGTCATAGAACCTCCTGCGCAGCGGCCTCCCAGACATATTCTTCTTTGCATTCATGATATTTCCAAAATATATCTTCACAACAAATTCCAATAATCTCCATCTCAAAATCTCACATCATCAAATATTCAATCTCTATATCAAGTCATGCAAGGACGCCATCTTTTTGATGATCACGGGTAATGCGAATTCGGATTGAGCTTTTGCGCACCTCGGGACGTGACCAGTGTTCACATCACTCGGGCCACATCCGGTGTATGAGGGCTCGGGTATTGCACACCGCCCATTGTTTGAGCTCATCCCGAATCACCCCCGTTTCCTTGATGGGCCTCAAACATTCTGGCCAAGCAACCTGGCTATCAAGCTTGCATCCAAAGCAAAGGGCTCAACCACGGATGCATTCACAAGGGAAAGAGCCTTCTCACCTTCCTGGCGCGACGGCCAGTCGGCCACGTTCGAGTATGATGGGACCCTCTCTGTCCAGGCCAATGTAGGGCTGGCATTATCCACTTCAGAAAGCACCAAGGCCAAAGAAAACATAGCCGCCGATTTACTCGCCCTAGCCGAGTCATTGTCTATCCAGTAAATGGCTTTCCGGCCATGCAACGCAGTTTGCAAGTGGCCCCTCACTGCCACTAAGGCAAAGAGCTCGACCTCGCATATTATTTGGCGTCAAAGCCTTGGGCACCACGCCCTGGAAAACCCTTCCTCTGCCTGTGCTCATGTCTAGCACCACGGCTCCTAAACCCGCGACCCCATCCTCCCACGATCCATCTGTCCAAATGCGCATCACAGGAGTAAGATCCTGGAAGCAATTGATCAAACGAGGCGATGCGGTTTGCAACAACGTCATGGCATGCCTGCAAACGATGCTCAGGGTCTTCGGGGAAGGAGAGTCGTGGGAAATGACACGGGTTAGGGTGCGCATTATCAACTTGAAGGGTTTTCCGGCATAGAACCCCGATGCAAAGTTGAACCATCCAAGCAACACCTGCGCCTCACGCAGAGTGACTGATCCAGACTCTTCTACCCTCTTCAGCTTTGCGACCAACTTGTCAATGCGCTCCGGCTTGTTGGTCAAAACCACGGTGCCTTGATGCAAGCAGCTAATGTCCATCTGCACGCCCAGGACATTCAACACACTGCCGAAGCTCACTCCTTTGGCACTATCACGCGCAAAGTCCCATCCTAAAATATCCAACACCTCGCTCACGAAAGAGTCAGTGCTCAAGGCGGTGCTCTGTGCTGAATACTGGATAATCATCAAAATAATTTCCAAGTGGCAAATGTAAAACCTTGCTCAAAATGAACCACAAGCTTCTGGCTATCCGCACGAAAGAGAACACCGCAGCGCTTAGTCCAAAAAGCAACGAGTTGCACAAGAAAAATTCATTTTGATTTTTCCCGTACTTTGGAACACCACCCCTAGGTCCCTATGGCTGGGGTGAAGGGGAACCTGCTTATAGGCTCGCTTGAGGCCTACCGTTTTCCCGACCCATCTTCTAGGTGGAACCCCTTTCATAACACTGCGCTCTTTCTCAGCCCTCAAGATGAGCATTGCTAGGTTAGCCATGTAGTCTATCCCCTGCAAGTCAAGCTTCAAATCTGATGTGAACGCATTGTTGGTCTGGCTCTCACGGCCATCGTCTATCGGCCTTATTTTGCTTCCTTGATCCAATCCAAATCTCCTGATAGGAGACCACAAGCGGTGTCCCAATGTCGCAGTCACCTCGTCCGCAGACATGGGACCCTCCAGGATTCCCATCTCAACCTCTTCTCTCGCGGTTGCCTCAAGGCTCTTCACAACATGCGGCTCCTGCTGATGTCTTTTCAAAAGCATTGCTTCGCGACGTGCTTCCGCACTCTCACGCAGCCCTTCTTCCGATATCAGCGCAGGCTTCAATTTTGACTTGAAGCACCCTGGAGTGTGATGCTGGCCCACGATAGGCACACCCTCCTTCATGAACTTTATAACGCCTAGATCGTCGAAGTCGAACTCCTTTAAGAGGCTTTCCCATAGCAATAGCTTTTTCCTAGCCACTTTTTCAAACCACGGCTGAAAAGTCTTGTGGAGCTCCTGCTCTTGCTGCTCTAAGGTTCTGGCCTTTATCTTCAACTTTAAAACCGCAAGCTTTCGCTGTTGCTCAAGTTGATCGTCCGAAATACTCATACACTTCTCCAAGGCTTTCACACTTATGCTCTCCACTGCCACCACCGAGTCAAACGGATGACCCACTTCCTTTGCCTTGGCTACATGCTGATCTGGCACCAACCAATAACCCACTTTAAGGGTCTTTGGCTCACCCTTGGCTGTAGCAGTCCGACCTGACATGTCAGCAAGGGTGGGCGAGGTTTCACACGGGTTTGGACTCGGGTACCCACTAGGGTCAGTGCATCCACTTTGGCTGTCCACCTTAAGCGGATCGGAGGGACCAGGACTGGGGCACCCACTAGGGAAGGCATCAGGATCATAGCGCGGGTGACCCTTTCTAGGCCGCTTCGGTTCAGGCATGGCATTCTTGTCTCCCCCGTCTTTCTGATGCATGGGAGAAAAGAATGCGACAGCATTTATCTGCTTTGAAACTTGCAGTTTCCCAAGAGACACGATGAAACTCTGGGATCAGAGGAGGGAACTTTGCTGACTGATGGCCTTGGGCAGCCAACTGCAGCGGTCTCGCCTGCACTTCAGTCAAATCGCAACCCATGGTTTGCACATGTTCGGTGAGGCACTGGGCTAAACGCCTTGAGAGTAGAGCAGGGTACGCAGCCTCGGCTGCTGTTGACCACATCGAACAGCCGTCACGGAAGTGAAGCCGCCAAGGGGCGTGCTCATGGGCCCCATCGCAAAAGACCCCCAGTCGAGCAAAAACACCCCGCGTGCCCAGTATGGCAGTGCGCTTCGGCCTTTCGCTGCCACGCACGCAAGCATCAAAAGAAATGAACTCCAACTGCTTTGGAGGCCACTGCACGGAGTCCTGCTCTGCGAACCATGCCAATACGGCCCAGAAATGGGAGTTCGCGGGGTTTTCCACACTAATCAGGATGTCGTGTCTCACGCAAAACAGTATCAAGAGATACATGAACTTGTACAAGGCATTGGCTTTCCTAAGCTTAATACCATCCACACTCTCAGGCTTGATACTAGGCAACCCTGAGATCGCAGTGGCCGGGGAGCATTGGGAAATTTGGACTTCGGCAACGGTCTCTCACGTGCACGTGAGCTAGCGCCACATGGCGGGCCCTATTCCGATCAATTAACTGCCAAAACAATGTCCTACCTTGCTCTTGGCACAGATCCAAAGACACTGTTGCAGCTTGGGCTCCTCCCACAGCATGATCAAATGCTAACACTTTGAAACCCATTTTGGCACAGGCAGCTGACAAGGATGCCTTGCCCGAAAAGGCTTCGAAGAACCATGCTTCCTTGATTCGTGTGGGCGGCGAATCCTGCTGAGACACAGCAAACCGGAACGGGCAATCAGGGGAAACATTGAATCCTTGCCGCACCAAGGCCATAGCCTGCTCAGGGCGCATTTCGGACAAGTTTTTGACTGCATAAGCTACCAGCATGACCCTTTCTCCTTCCCATTTCTCGGTGCAATGGGGAAACTTGTATGCATCAAAGACCACAGGGTCCTTCTCCACTTGCATGACTGTTCCCTTAACTTTCTTGCCGCTCACCTCACGCACATGAGGACCCTTTCCATCGCCTACCCATATCCCGCCTCCTCGAAAGGCGGATATGGCAAACACTGCATTGGGTGAACTGAAGTTCCCAGAATCCACATGGCAATCTGTTCGCAAGTTACGGAACAAGGATATCGTGTGAAATGATGCTCAGGCAACCGGTGCTTGACAAAGCTTGCAAAAATGGCACACGCATTGGGAAAACGCTTGGAATTGGCTCGAAGGCCCTGCAGCCTACCCTGTGAGTAGGCGCCACACGAAAAACTGGCCGCTCCCTCTCCACCCCCTGTACGCGGCGGGGCTTCCAAGGGCAACATGTTAAAGACTTGCTCCTCAGTTGGGGGCTTCTTTGAATCCAAAATTTTGCAGGCAATCGACTCCACTTCCTTGGAGGCCTCTTGCGCAGCCACGGGGCTCGGCCGCGACCCCGATTGGCCCTTTCACTGCATGACGTGAGTACATTCAGTGTACGGATGACTACCCTCGCAGGCAGTTCGCCAGCAGTGGTGCATTCCACGGGGGCACCTGCCTTTGGTGACACGGAGCTTACAACCCTTTAGGTTAAAGGCGAAACAGTTCGGGCGATTCTGGGTGTCACGAGCAGAGCACCCATCCGGAATGGTGATCTTAGTTCCCTGGCCTTTGCCTTTGCCACCTCGTCCCTTGCCCTTTTTGCCTTTGCCAGGCTGCTCTGTAGCATTCTGATCGGCAGATACCTCAGTTGCCGCATGAGGTCGCTTGACCGGATGAGGCGGTGGTGGCGGCAACGGCATTGGAAGCAGGAATTGAATGACACCTTGGGACACTGAAAGTGCTGCGATGACCGCATCCAACGGCCTGCTTGATCCAGCTGGGCTTTGCAGTTTACCATCTAGCTCATGCGCTGCTCGCACAAATAATTCCTTATCCGCAGCTAGAATTGGCCTAGGGACACCGAAGAGTATCCTTTCGGAACCGGCCGCTGAAGATACTCGAACAGCGTTGATATGTACGTTTCCATCACATGGAAGGAGGCCAAGCGACCCAGGTCAAAGGCAAGCGACCTTCTAAGAAAGGCCTGCCGCAAAGCGTATGCGCCTCCGATGTCACACGTTGCTTCAGGGGCCTTGGCCCCTACCTTAATGGCACCTTCCGCATCCACCTGAATCAAGGGGTCCTTCTTGGCAAGCGAAAGTTCCTGAGCTCTTGAAGTCCAACGATTCATGGGCACATACCTGAGGGAGTTGGACTCCATCATATCCACCACCAAGTCCACGCAGTGGTTGGCAGGTTGCGTCTGCGGGGTGTGAATCAAGCCTGTCAGCCTTTTATGCTCCTCAACTCGCGCATTCCTCTCAGCAACTGGGAGTTTGCGTAGCCTTTCCTCCGAAGGGCCTTCCACTCTGCTAGATCTGCTACACGCATCAGCTGTGACTCATACAGGAGACGCCTGACACAAGCCACCTGGAATGCCGACGGTAGAGGCTTCACAACTGATTTCAGCCATTCGTCCACCGCTGAATCTGTCAAATTTTGCGGAGTGGATGCAGCCGCGAACGAAACTTTTCCAAAGGTGTTATAACCCGCATCCACTATGGCCTTCAGCAAGTCATCACTGATGCCAATCTTCCGGCACCGGTCCTCAAACGCCGCTTCGCTATCTAACGAAACTGAGGACATGGCTCACTTGATCCAGCTCCGGGTCTCACTTTGTGAGGCCAGCTTTCCAAAATCTTGGGCCACAGACCACGGCGGAGCATAGCTTCGCAGTCAACCCTCTTGTCTTTACTTGCTGGGAGCCCGGGCAATTCTAGCGGTGTGTTATACACACCACGGCTAGCTTGCCGCTCCGCTTTCTCTCGGGTTCAGGCACGGGAATTCCCAACGGCATAACCAGTTGCATGCCTCGGTTGGAAACTCCGCCTGGTTCTCACGGGTCAAGAATCTCTCATGGAGCCACAGATCTCAGCAATGCACATGTGCATTCGGCTAAAAGACCGCCCCCGTTACACATGGATACAGTCGATGCCTGTTGTCTCAGCACCCGGACTACTAATCCATTCCAACATTGAATGAAGCATGCACACTTCTTTTGCGATCTGACCCGCCTGGTCACTCTTCCTGACAGGCTCATCTTGATCATCCACCGAGAAATCCCGGTACCTTCCTGCGGCAGGCCTCCCACACCAGAAGAACTCTACGCCCTTCAACCGATGCACTACGCCAGACAGACGGTGCACCCTGAGCTCGTCCGGGCTGCATCCCACAAATGGCACTCGCCTGAGACCTATATCGGGTGGAACGTGTTCAGCCTCAGACTCACCTGACACAGAGCTGTCTTCTGCATGCACCTGCTCCTGGGCTTCCTCAACCCTCCACGCTTCACATGATGGCCCATAAGCCGTCGTTCATTGTTTGTGAAGGGCACACACGCACACCATCCTGACCAAGAAATCATGGTCGCCTTGAAACTGTGCGCGCCTATCGACTCAGAGGCTTTCGGTGCTAGAGAACCTTGCACAAAGAGCTCCTCCAAGATTCCGGCAGCCTCTTCACTGGACATGGCTACGTCTCCCCAGCATCCCTGAGAGACCCTCCATGTAGGCAGACAACCCGCCTCAAACGTAAGCTTTTGCTCCGCTCTGGCTGCCATCCAAGCAGTTGCCCATGGTTTCTGACAAACACCTTCAGCCACACAAGCATATGGCAGATACCTAGTCTTGGCTTCCGCAGTCTGCGTGGTTTTGGACCCAAGCGCTGATGCCATCAAAATTGCTCCTGGCCCTTCACCCAAAATTTCAAGGCTGACTATATTTTGAGAGTCTCCCCACCTGACCGAGGCATGAATGCACAGGAGAAATTGGCCGACGATGCAACACAACCATGATGAGCTGCTTTGCATCAACTCCTCAAGATATTGGACTCGCTCTAAAGACAACGGATCTCTCTGCCTCAAGGGAGCCTTTGTCAGCCTCAAGTCCCGCGCCACACCCCTGGTCCGGGCGGACACCACTGCATCCAAGGACATGAAAACGAACACTGCGACACCGTGCATGAAGTTCAAAGCTTCCAAGATGTGCGGCGCTGTAGACGCTTTGACCCCTTCTTCACGAAGAGTCTGAAACAAGGTGTACATCTGTTCCTCATTTAGCCTCCACGGAGACTCAAAACCCAATTGGTAAGACTTGACCGCAAAGGCCTGCAATGACAATGCCCTTTTTTGCAGAGTGGCACTCGCAGGTTTACGGAATGCGTCTGACAAGGACTGCATTATATACTCCTCCTCACTAAGTTCTTGAGTCTGCTTAATAAGGCTTGCTCCCAGTCTGGTGGCTTCTGGGCCCAGCAAAATTAACACCCTTATACGTTTCATGGCTGCATGTCGAATGTGATCCTTGCATGGCGCAGTGCGCATACGACCCAGCCTTATTACCACCGTCCAAGGAATCTCCGCTCCTCCTGGGGAGTCCACGGCCTCTTGCGATAAAGCTGACAGGGTTTCCCTCAATCCAACCTGCGGCTCAAACATCAAGAAGCGCTCCACACTAGCTTGGAAAACACCCCTAGGCTTATCCCAATTCAATCTCGGCACCTCTACACGCCTACGCTTCGCAAGAATGACTACTGCGTGAGCCCTTATGTCTACGTCCGCCTCTCTGCTTCCTAACCAGACTGGCAAAGACTCGAAGGACTCTCTGGCACGCAACTCACTGTCTCCAGCAAGCTCGCAACGGTCTCCAGAGTTTGAAACCACCCCAAAACTAGCACTAACTCCCGATGCTTCGCCTGACCCACCACGCTCATCAGCCCTGGCACACCAGGCTGCCTCTGAAGCGCGCTCATGACCGCACTCTGATCCTTCTTCAAGGCCCAGGAAATCTTCCAAAAGGTCATCAAGCCTATCCCCTTTTTCAGACTCATCAAGAGCACCGACCCCTTGACCTTCATCCTCGCTTCTACCCTCTCCAGCTGGTGGCCCCGCTACACCCCCGTGATCGGCCAGCAGGCTGCACGAACCAAGTCAGAAGGTGCAGAGGGAAGCCCACCGGGCAGCACGGGTTCAGGATGGGGTGGGCACGCAGCAGACACGGGTTCAGGAGGGGCCGGAAATGGAAAAGATGGCATCCTGAACCGGCGACAACGCCTGTGGCACGTCAAGCAAGTTCCACAAAGAGTGGTCCGGGCGCACTGGCATAAACTTAGGGGTTGGTAAGGCAAATCTAGGGGCACCATCTTCAGACGACATGTCTATTGAAGAGCTCTCTCCACGTCCTGAAGACGACGGGCCAAACGTGCAACGCTGACCTGTTGATGTTCAAAGCGAGCTGCGAAAAGCAAGGCAAGCTGCTCCCTGGCCGTTTCGCTAGAACGCAAGTTCTCCTCAGCACGGCGCACTCGCTGCAAAAGCAGGGCGTTGGACCCTTCAAGAGATCCTACAC